CCCCGGGGAGCCGAGGACCCGAGCCAACGGCCTGCGGGCCCGGGGCCGCCGGGAGCCCAGGAGGTTCAAGGTCGGCCTGCAAAAGTGTCCAGGCCACCGAGCCAGGCGGTGGAAGCCCCCACCCCACCCCCGGGCAGAGCGCGGAGGGGCTGGAGGTGGTCGTCCAGCGCGCGGACCCCAGCCTGGGAGGCGCTGGCCTGGGAGTAAACCTCCTTCCCAGGCTCAGCCCAGAGGGAGTTTAACACCTGGAGATCGTGGTCTTTGGTTGATCTCTGGCCCAGTTTGGAAGAAGTGAAAAAGAATGGATGAATGACTGAACTTGACAAAGGACTGATAATACTCTTGCATTCAAATGAAGGGGTGAGTTGGAGGAAGAGGACAACACAGGGACTCTAAAACGATCTTATTTTACTTCAGTGAACCACAAAAGCCTTTTTAAGTCTTCAGGTGGTGGAGGCTCTGAGATAGATCCTAAGAATTGATTGAAATGTAGTAGGTAGTATTGAGAGCTTTTATTTTAAAGAAGAAAGGAAGCCTTGCCTTGCCTGCTGTTAATAAAATCGAGGGATGCCCTCCTTCCATAATATTTAGGCACACCTGGAGCTGATATCCTCTGTAAGCTTCCTTAAATAAACTAAAGCCGCTGCTGCCCCTACCCTCACGATGACAATCATTGGAAAATGCTTTTCAGAGATGGAGGCGTCTTAAAATTTAGCAAGTCAAGGTGGGAGTAAAACCTTCAGTAGAGTAGCTATTGAAAAACCATGGATATGCTCTAAAGAAGTTTAATGGCCCACCAGTTTATGGCTTTTACGTTCATTAAACTAGAGAGCCCTTCCAGCATGTCTCCAGGCTGGGGAAAGAGGAAATCTCCCAGTTGCTGCCATGAGTGCAGCATGTTGTTCCATACATGTATATTACCATAGATCTTTATGAGTTTTCTTTTTTTTTTTTTCCTTCAATCCTGCTAGCTCCACTGTCATTAGAAATAGAATTGTGGTGCTAAAAATCACATGTGGTAAATGGTTTAAAATTAGAATTGGTCCCAGCTAAAGGCGGGATAATAGATGGGCTCCACTTAAGAGTTAAGGGTTTGTTAAAACAGATTACATGCTAGGCCCACCCCCAGAGTGGTTCTCATTCAGTAGATTGTGGTGGAGCCAGATAGTTTGCATTTTAAAGTTCCTGGGTGATGCCCATGCTGCAGGTTAGGAGAATTGTGGATTGGATCAGTTCATATCAATCATCCAGGATCTTATAAAAGTACAGATTCTGATTAAGAATATGTGGGGTGGGGCCTGAGATTTAGAATTTCAAAATAAATTCCCAGGTGATGTGAGTGCTGTTAGTGGGTCACACTTTTATTAGTAAGGGTTTAGATTAGTTCCCACCTTTCTTTGTATTTGACTCAATTCAAGTGATGCACTGAATCTTTGTGTCCCCCCAAATTTGCATGTTGAAATTCTAACCCCTCATATGATGGTATTTAGAAGTGGGCCTTCCAGAGGTCAGGAAGGTAGAGCTCTCATGAATGAGATTAGCGCCCTTAGAAAAGAGGCTTCAGAAAGCTCCCTGGCTCCTTCTACCACGTGAGGACACAATGAGAAGACAGTGGCCTATGAACCAGAAACTGGGTCTCACCAGACACTGAATCTGCCAGCGCCTTGATCCTGGACTTCTCAATTCCAGAACTGTGAGAAATAAATTGTAGTTCAAGCCATTCAGTCGATAGTAATTTGTAATATCAGCCAGAGCTAAGACATCTAGGGAGCAAGCTGTCTAACTTACCCAGACCTTCTCTTTTAATCTTTTAGGAGAGCCCAGGAAGGTGTATTTAAAAAAAAACAACAAATAAGCAACAAAAAACATTAAGTGAATAGGACGCACACACTTGACCTATAGAACTATGGATTAAAATAATACCAAGTAATGTCTGCTTGTGTAGACTTAAATTGGAAAAGGCTGAGAATTTGGTGGAGAGAATGAACAAGTCAGAATCCTGAGCTATTTTAGTGAAGAAATAAGGTTTTTTTCATTTATAAAATGAAAAAAAAAAAAGGAAGTAACCTGAGACTTGTGACTGAATAAACAAGACTCTGTTTTAAACAAATGTTTCCATTTACTGCATACAGGAAATGGCCTGTTTAGAGAGACCCTGGATTCACGTCACTCATTTATTCTACCTCTGCACTTGCTACGCTCCCCATCTGGAATATATTCTAAACCTTTACCCTACCCCAGCCTCTCCCAAGTAAACTCCTCCTCATCATTCAAGTGCTACCTCAAGGGGTTTCCTGCTCTTTTCACCGTGAATTTCCCTGGCAGATTTACAGTCATTAATTTGTTAATAAGCTTCCATTTGTGCCAGGAAATGCTCTTGATATTCCAAGTACAATGATATGAGCTGAAGAGAGAAGATTCTTGTTCTCAAGGACTTTCTACTCTACCGGGAATATGACAGATAATTAAAGAGCAATTAAAGAAGTGAAATAATTTCAGATAGTTATAAGTTGTATGAATAAAATAGGAAATGCCATTTAGTGAGTAATCATTGAGTGAAGAATAAAAGCTACACCAATCAGCAGGCCTACTCTAAAGGAGATATTGAAAGGAGGTGCCAGGTTTCATTTGTTTACCTCGTGGGTAACTGATTGCCCCAGGACTGTCTATTGAAAAGACCATCCTTTTCTTATTCTTCTGCAGGGCTGCCTTAGTCTTAATTCTAGTGCTCATATGAGATTGGGTTTGTTTCTTCTCTCTTCTCTTCCGTTAGTCTGTGTATCTGTGCTTGCACCAATTCTTACCTGATTTAATTTCTGTAGCTTTATTATAAGCCTTCTTTTCTGGCAAATCAAAACCTCTCATTCTGCAATTCTTTTTCAAGTTTGTGATAGCCATTCCTATTCCTTTGCATTTCCATATAAATCTTAGCATCAGCATCTCAGTGTTCACAAACACGCCCGCTGGGACTTCTGTTGGAATTGCACTGAGTCCATAGGTCAACTTGAAGAGAACTGAAAACATTGGGTCTTCAAAAATATTGACATGGTATATCCATCATTTATGTAGGTGTTAATGTCTTTCAGTCATATGAGGAGGTCTTGGATTGTGTGTAGTTGGTATATAAAAATAAAAATAAAATTGATTTGTTTAGAATGAATTTAGATTCAGTGACCCTGATACTTTTATAGAATTGCATTTTCTATGTATAGAAACATACTGTTTTTTTCTTACCTTTCAATCCCTATACATCTTATTTCGTACTTTATTCCACTGGCTAGCAGTGCAAATAAAATTTTGAATTAAAATGGAGAGAGTAGGCAACCTAGTTTTTGAGAGAAAGTTTTCAACATACCCCATTAATTTATTTTAATAAGCCTTTCATTTTAGAATAGTTTTAGATTTACAAAAAAGTTCAAAGATCGTACAGAGATTTCCTGTGTAACTCACACCTCCTTTCCCCTGTTGCTAATATCTTACATTAGTGAGATACATTTGTCACAAGTAATGAACCATTATTGATATAATTAATGAAAGCCTATACTTTATTCAGATATTCTTCATTTTGACTTAATGCCCTTTTACTGTTCCAGGATCTCATTCAAGATACCACATTACATATAATTAACATGCCTCCTTAGGCTCCTTTTGGCTGTGACAATTTCTCAGACCTTCCGTGTTTCTGATGGCCTTAATTTTGAGAAGCACTGGATAGGTACAGTCGACCTTTGAACAACAGGGGTTTACTTACACACGGGTTTTTCTCAATAGTAAATACTGTTAATAATTACCCCCAAGGAACTAGCTTTTGGTTTTATTGATTTTTTTTCCCTATTGATTTCCATTTTTAATTTCAATGATTTCTTCTCTGATTTTTATGATTCTTTTTCTTCTCCCTGCTTTAAGCTTAATTTACTGTATCTAGTTTGCTAAGGTAGAAAATTAGGTTTTAGATCTGCTACTCAAACATGAATTTAATGCTGTACATTTACCTTGAAGCACTCCTTTCACTGCAGCCCACAATTTGATTAAATAGTGTTTTTTTTTAATTTAGTTCAAAATGTTTCTTATTTATCTTGATACTTCTTCAATCCATGGATTATTTAGAAGTATGTTAATTTCCAAATATTTGGGGATTTCTCAATTATTTTTCTGTTACTGATTTCTAGTTTAATCCTGTTATAGTCTGAGAACATGACTGAATGATTTCTATCCAATATGGCAGCCACTGGCCACATATAGCAATTTAAATTAAATAAAATTAAATAAAAGTTTGAAAGTATTTCCTCAGTGACACCAGCTATATTTTAAGTGCTGAATAGCCACATGTGACTACTGTATGTTTAGCATAGATAGAGAACATTTCTATCAGGGCTGAAATTATTGTTTTTTCCCCCCAATTTTATTCAGATAAAATTGGCATGTAGCATTGTGTAAGTTTAAGATGTACAATGTGCTGATTTGATATACTTATGTATATTGCATAATGATTGTCACCATTGCACTAACTAGCACCTCCATCACATCCCATAATTACCATTTCTTTTTTGTGGTGAGAACAGTTAGTTTACTCTCTTAGCAACTTTCAAATATATAATACATATTGTTAATTATAGTCACCACGTTGTGCATGAGATTCCTAGAACTTATCCATCCACCATTATATTCTGTCTTTATGAGTTTGGCCTTTTTAGATTCCACATACAAGTAATATCATACAGTATTTGTCTTTCTCTATCTGACTTATTTCACTTAGCATTGTGCCCTCAAGGTCCAGCCATTCCATCACAAATGACAGGATTTCCTTCTTTCTCATGGCTGAATAATACTCTATTGTATATCCATATCACACCTTTATCCATTCATCCACTGATGGACACTTAGGTTGTTTTCACATCTTGGCTATTGTGAATATTACTGCAATAAATATGGGAATGCAGATATCTCTGTGATATCCTGTTTTCATTTCTTTTGGAAATGTACCCAGAAGTGTGATGGCTAGATCATATGGTAGTTCTATTTCAGACAACACTGTTATAGAACATGACATAGGAAGATATCTTTATGATTTTAGGATAGGTTAGGATTTTTTAAAGTCACAAAAACTGCTAATTATGAAGGAAAATATGCTAAGTTGGACTACATAAAACTTAAAAAATTCCCCTTATAAAAGCCAGTAGGAGAGTAAAAGGTAATTTAACAGAGTCAGGAAATATATGTGCTACACAATAATAAAACTCAATTTTGAAATACATAATTTATAAAACTTATTAAGAAAATAATAAGACAAAATAGAAGAATCAGAGAAAAAGACTTGAAGAGATACTTCACAAAAGAAAATTCAAATAGCCAACAAACATAAGCAAATATGACCAGCCTCATTAGTCAGCAGGGAAATGCTAATTTAAACCATAAAAGAATATCTTTTCACACCTTCTAGATTGGCTAAAATTTAAAAGTGCTGACAACACCAATTGTTGTCAAAGATGTGAAGCAATTAGAGCTCACACACACTATAGACATAAAGAGAGAGAGAGATTCTTTAATTTTAAGGCATCTTGCTTCATGATTACAGAGTCTGGCAAGTTCAAAATATGCAGGCAAGGCTGGCAGGACAGAGAACTGGGAAAGAGTTGATGCTGCAGCTTCAGTCTGAAGGCAGCCTGCTGATGGAATTCACTCCTCCTCAGGGAAGATTAGTCTTTTTCTTAAGGCTTTTAATGGCTTAAATGGGGCCCAACTACATTATGGATGGTAATCTGCTTTACTCAAAGCCTACTGATTAAATGTTAATCTCATCTAAAAAATATCTTCAAAGCAGCATGCATACATGCTTGACCAATATCTGGGCACTGGAGCCCAGGCAAGTTGACTCGTAAAATTCACCATCACACTTAGTAATCCAATATCTATGCTAAAAACAAAAACATAAAACAGAAATCAGCCTTTTCCAATGTTCACAAGAAGTCATGTACAATGCATCACTGACTATAATAGGGAAAAGGTGGAAATGATGAGAGGAATGGAAAAAATAAGCTATAATTCATATTTCTATAATTCACAGGAGATAAAATACATGAAATACTACATGAATACATGGAGCAATCTTAAAAATATAATGTTGAATGAAAAAAGTTGGTTTTGAAGTTATTTTTATGGTACGAAGCCTAATGGGGTAGAGAAGACAGTTTGCAGTTACTTTTTGGTTTCCCTTGTTCTGTGAGCTTCTTTTCTTTCCTTCCACTTCCCCTTTCCTCTGCCAGAGTCTCCTTTACTTTCTAAATAAACTACTTACCCTTGAAACATTATCTTTGAGTTAGCATCTTAGGAAATTCAAACTCAGGCATGTGTTATGTGTAATTCAAATATGAAGTGAAAAATATTATACATGGGCAAATATACTCAATAGAAACCTCAGTCCTTCCAAAAGGATCTTGTTTTTTTTTTTCCTGTAAATAATAATGTCTCATTTTATTTTTTCTTCTTTATATACTATGTCCTTGTTCTGACATCTTCCTGAAACTCTGGAAAAGATCTGTAAAATCTCTCATAAAATAGTATATCAGGTAAGTTATTAGTTTCATGATTTTCCATGAGGGTTTTTATCCGGAGACTTTCTTTAATTTGGACTGAAATTTATTCTTTAATAATTCTGTAAGAAAAGGTGCTTTGAAAGTAAATATTTAAGTCCTTACTTGCCTGAAAATGCTATTACTCCACCCTAACATTTGATTTGATGTTTGAATAGTTATATGATTCAAGATTAGAATTTTTACCCTCTAAAATTTTAATTTCAAAGGCATTTGTTTATTGAATTCTTGCTTTCAGCATTTTCTACTAAGTCCAAATGGCATTCTGATCAACATTTTTTTCATGTATAACCTGTTTATTTTATCTGGAAAGTTTTAATCCTCCTGTTTATTCTTGATGTTCTGGAATTTCATGAGATCTGCCTTGGTGTGAATCCTTTCGTATTCATTGGGCTCTTTAAATATGGAAATTTATGTCACTCAGTTCTGGGAATTTTTCTCGTATTATTTCTTTTCTAAATTCTCCCCCTTAATTTTCTTTGTTCTCTTTTTGTGAAACTTCTCTTATCTGGTTATTTAAAATCTTAGTTTGAGTCCTTTTAGTTTCTTTTGATTTTTATATTTTTATCTTACATTAGTCAGTTATTACTACAATAATGCCACATAACAAACTTTTCTAGAGCTCAGTGTGTTTATCTTCTTGCTCACTGGTCTGTGGTTGGCTGGGGCTCCATGGGGTTCGTCTGGAGTCAGTTGGACTTGGCAGATCAGGTGCATCTTCTCATCTTCCTTGGACCAGTGGCCTCTCAAACGGCAGACGTTCAAAAAAGCAAATAGAAACTCATGCCTCTTAAGACTTTGGTTAGGAAGCATCACACTGTCACTTCCACATACATTCTGTCGGCCTTGTGGTCCTAGCCCAGCATCAGTGGAGTGGGGAAGTAGCCTGTACTCTGTGGGAGAAAAGGAAGGAATACCTTCTGAAAAATTAATCTAATTTATCACATTTATGCTACATTTCATTTTTGGGGGAGAGTTCTCCTTTCTGAATCATTTTCTGTTGATTTTTTTTTCCCGTCACATTTTTTATTTCCAAGAACTCTTCTTTGTTTTTTGTTCCTTTTAATAACAGCGCCATTTTCTTTTAAAATAACAACAACAAAAAAATGCTCTTCTCATGACTATCTGAACAATTGATTGGCTTTTTTTCTCTTTCTCTTTTAAAAGTTTTTGTTTGGCTTTCTAAATTTCTTTTGGAGTTTCTTTTTTTTCCCCTTTTTATTATCTCTATCTTACATATTGGAGGCTTTATTTAAATGTCTAATCGATTTAAGAATGAGACACTATATTAAGTCAAATTCTGTGGCCATGGATAGGGATTATTGGCTTGTGGGGTTCACTGTCGGATCATTGGATGGGATGCCCGGCTAGTTTATTGCCTCTTCCCATAGCAGTATCTGTAGAGCTTTTCTCTCTGCCTGCTCAGGTTGTCCA